TTTTTTGCTGTTTTTCAGACTTATTGAGAGCAATAAATTTTGGTGGAAAAACGGAAGGAGAGTGAGCATTTTTTTGGCCAAATGTGTTGCAAAGACCTTCACAATATGAAGTTTCTGCACTAAACTAGACTTTCAGTTTGCTCTTGCTGTTCTAAGCCGAATCGTCTGATTACCCAGTTGACTGATCATAGGGTATTAAATAGTTTGGTCCACAAATCGATGGTACCTATTTTTAGTCCGGAATCTTCTGTTCATTCACCGGACTGGCAACCGTCAAGCAAAATTAATCGACGAGGACGTTTTGAAGACAAAGCAGTTGAGTGCAATTCGATTGATGTCGATGAAGCGCTCGGATTGGACTTCGACGAAAATGATGATAAGGAATCCGAAGAACCGAAACCAATTGGTGATTCTATCCCCGAAGATGAGCATATTTACCATGAACTTGAAGTATGATTTTACTTAATGAATAAAAGCCAAATGTTATAGCTTTCCTTTTATTCTTTTGAAGGTCAGTTGTAAAATACGGTTTTTTTTCTATTCTGCCACAGATGTTATCCACATTTAAACAAGTGAAAAAATTTTCAGGCCTTCAGCAGATTTTCGCTTCTTCTAAATGATAATGCTTGTTCATCGGATTCCGATATTTCATGTTCCTCAGCTAGTTCTCTACATTCTCAGCAATCATCAGCTATCTACGCGCAACCGTATCCATTAATGAAAGCCGATCAACCAGATGCCAATGATGATTTTCCAAATACAGCAGCCAGTTTTACGTATATACCCAGTGCCAACTATCGTCCAGCACCAAAATTCCATGCGCCTCCACCACCACCAGTATATTCGGATTTTGATCAGGCTGAAATTGATTTTCTTGCTGAACTCGATGCGCAGATTGCTGAGCTACAAGTAATAATTATTACCGAATCTGCATACTTAATATCGTTTTTTAAATATATCATCTATAAATTTAAGTTTACAGTCAGTTTTTTTTTATATTTGTCTTGTAGTTTTTCTATGTTTTAGATCGCTGCATTTAATTCTGTTCTACATTTATTCTTTGGGCTGTTTCGTAGTATTTGCTGCACAATTAGTCATTTAACAGTGATTTTTGATCTATAATTATCGTCATTTACAGGTTAAAAGTGTTGCCGTCAGGCAGCTGGTAGATGAGGCTCGAGAGAGGCGAGATGCTCGTACTCGAAGTAATCAGATGTATTTGAAGGAACTTTCTGAGTTACGGCAACTCAAATGGGTTCTTCAGGATCGTTTTGAACTTGTTTTATAAGATTTTTTTGTTTTACGTTCTGTGTCAACCACGCTTTTTTTAACAACCGTCAGTGATAGGCGTTTTTTTCCATCCACTTTTCTTCGTTATGTTTGTTAATTTTTTGTTTAAGAGTTCATTATTTTCAGTTTTCCTAACAGTTTATCGTTACTGTTGATCGTTTGTTTTAAGATCAATTAATTTTTCAGTAAAAAATGTACTTTTTATCGGATATTTGGGAAAAAAATGTTGCAGTAATTTTTACAGAACATTGCAGCTAATAAAGTGTACCATTCTTTACCGTTCGTTATCGTCGTTAATTTTTTTCGCTTTTTTTTTTTTATTTGATATTGTCATTAATTGAATGTCTTTGTTGCATTCTCTGAACATAGTTATTTGTTATTTGTAACAAAAACCACATACTGTTCTCTTTTTGCTTTTTTTTTCTTTTTACCAGTATAATTATCATATGTTTCTGATCTCCTTTTGTTATTTAGATATGAAAATTTTGCTTACTCTACTGAGTATTACCGCTACTTAGTTCTTGCTAAACTGTTTGATTTTTAAAGCCAGTTTTGGCTTCTAGCTTTTGTCATTTATCATAATATATTAGTGTACCAAGCTTCATGAAAGAAACTGAGCTTTTACACTTTTTGTTGTTGTCACTGTTTGTTCTCCAAAACTTTTCTACCCGTCTTTTCATTTAATTACTGTTCTAAAGTAGAAAAAAAAATTTTTTTTGAGGATAATTTTTGAGTGTAGTCGTTTTTTTTTTTTCAATTTTTTCTGTTTATTTCCTTTTTGTAACATTATTTATGTCATAATAATTTTTTTGCACCTTTTCTTTTCACCTATTTGTCTGATTTATTTTTGAAACATTTGCTGGTAGATTTAGAGTGTGTGAAAAAAATTGAAGAAAATACTAAAGAAGTTTGCGTTGACTGCAGAAAAAAAGTGTTGGAAGTCGAATTTTAAGCAGAGAAACAGAAGGAATTTTATGGAAATAATCTACAGTTTTAAGTACGTTTTTCTTTTTCACTTTTTCTTTTTTTCTGCAGTTTTTTTTAAGAACCAACAGCACTTTTTTTTTGTCTGTATTACTGACGGTTACTGTTGATTTTTTCTTCGCCTATAAAAGTCTATTGCACAGCAGTTTGCAAATGTTTATTTCACATTTAGCCAACAAACAAGTAGGTAGACTAAAAGCGGTTTTTGATGGATAGACGCTGCTTGATTGTCTGGTTAATTTAGGCAAGAAAATGTAATTTATGAAGTTATTTGTATGTGTGAATTTAAGGAATATAATGTTTATTAAATGTTGCTGTTGCACGGCATATACTGAGAAGCAGTTCTCAGATTCCCACAGAATATCCGTATTGTTAAACTTTGTACTAAGAGGTAGGGTAAAGACCTGTGACCCCTACTACTTCCTGCTGCTACTGTACATCTGCATGGCGTTGCTTTGTTAGAACAGGTTAAATTTGGGCAGGTACGAGAGCTGAAGACCTAAAGACCTACTTTTTTTTGAGCATTTAACAGTGAAAAAAAAAAAAACGAGGTTTTAGATTTTGCAATAGTGCAAAAAAAGACAGAAAAAACTAAATCTTCTTAAAACTTCTAGAATTGTTATTTTTTGCCTTGATCAGATTACATGCCTGTCATTCTCCACTAAGATCAGTTTTCTTGTTGGCAGAAGAGGATTACGTTTGTGCTTACTGCATTGGGAATTATCTTTACCTGTGATTTAAAAACTGACTTCAGTCATATCTGCTGTCCTCTGTTTTGCACATTTAGAGTGCACCAGTCAAGTAATACTTTTGAAAATTTACTGGTTTTAACTCCAGGAGTACCACAAATTGTACAGTCCTTTAACAGTTGTCAGGTTTAGAAAGCGCCAAGTATATTGCAAATCTGCGACAATATTCACGCATCCCAAAGTTCACGCATCCTAAAGTCACGTTGGAAATTTTTTCGGAAAGTGAAATAGTTATCAAGACTGTTAAAAAACTTTTATTTCAAAAATTTCATTGTTAAGGAAGAGAATAAAAGCACACTCGGTGGACTGAGCAACAACAAGGTAACACGAAGGAGCTTAGCAAAGACAGTTGTGTAATATTTCTATTGTTTCCGAAAGCGTAATATTCCTAAGTACGCCGGAAATACAAGTGTTTTGTGGAGTAAACGAATTGAAGGATACTGGCCTGTAAAAGTAAAATTCCATAAACTGAATGACAGTCACTTTGTAAACAGCGGTACTGTCTTTTTAAATACACAATGAAATTTTATAAACTGCCGTTAAAACGCACTCAGTTCATCACTGACTTCCTTGTCCATGTGGACGCATTTGCAATATGGGTGGGCTACGTGGAGTTGACCAGTGTAATCCTCTTCGGGTCAAAATAAAGTGGCATCTATAATATTTGAGAGGAAAACGATAAAGAGGGGATAAAGAGTAAGGCAAAAAAGAACATAACTTTAATTCGACTTCTCATCACTGTTACACGCTTCTTCATTCTGAAAGAAAACAGCGTTTTAAAGGTGACAAAACATTAGCTTTTACTATTTTTGAATAGTATTATGCCTTGCAAAATAAGGTATAATTTCCTCCGCGTAAAATTCATGTTTTTTGCGTCTATATGTACAAGTCAGAAGAAAGTTAATGTCATTACAAAACGCTATTTCTAGAGATTTTTTAAATTTAACAGGTCGGATGTTTTTGGCTTCAGGTTCCCGCACACCATATTAAATGACACCCGCGATCAGCTTTTCTTGCTTCTCGTATTCCGTATATAGCTCATCCTCCTAATTTGTTTCCCTGATTCAGCTCTGTTTATTTCTTCTTGTATGCTCCTTAGAAACTCATTAAATTATAAAAACCTTATGAAAAGCAAGCAAGAAGAATGTACAAATAAGTCAGCAGGTAAGAATGTCACGACAGTGTAAAACTCTGAAATGGAAGTGTTTTTATGAGAAAATATTACAGAAGCGTCAAGATGTCTCAAAAATTAAAAAACCGTTGCTCCTTCTAATTACTCTTACTTATTATAACTTATGCACTCCTTCCCACCTTTTTCAAATTTTGAATTCACTTGTGCTCTACCTCTTACAATCTTAATTTAAAGAGAAATCACACTGAACAGCATTAAATAAATGCGAAGAAATTGATGCTGGAAGTAGTGGTGCATAAGAAATGTTCTAAAAAATACTCATTTAGGCAATTCTCAAAATATTTTTTTCTTTGTTAACAATATTTTTTTTTCTTACAGTCCTTGTTGCAGTCAAGCGTAGGATGAAAAAAAATCTCTAACTTCAAACTGATGGAAAGCTGATGTTTGATAACAATTGGTTGCTTTATTAGAATGTTTTAAAATTTGTTCAAATACGAGAGTCAGAAGGAAAAACTGGTAAACCAATTTTGGTTTTCAGTTTCGAAAGTTAAGATGAATAGGCAGTATAGTTAAAGTTTTGTAAAGCACGACACTTAAACACTGTGCATAGTTATCCAATTTCGCAAAAATTCTGCGTCTATGAAGAAACTGTTTTACCTCAAAACCTAAAATGCCCGACGTATCAAAACGATAACGTTAAACTTGCAAAAACGAACACTTTTTGTGATTAATATGTTGATATCAGAACCGCGAATGACTGAGGTACAGTGGCGGTATTTTAGCTACTCGCAAAATTCTCATTCCACTGTCACTATAACAATAAATATCTCTTGCACGAACACATTGTCACTGAACTAGCAAAAATCAGAAAAGAGATTTGGCGAAAATTAATACTGTTCATTAATTTAGGCATAAAGAGATTGATGTGGACGTTTATGATCTAACATATTACAGAACCTTTAGCCTCCAGTATAACTTGGAAAGACGCCTTCAACTGAATTCTAAAATTAATGAACAGTATTAGGCAGATCGTCTATCATTTATAACTAGCATTATAACAGGTGTAGCTGAGTAGCTGAACTAGTGTTCATAGACTAAATATAACTGTTTGATTGTTATAGTAATTTATTGGTTAATTTGTTGCTGCAATAGCCGCTAGTTTTCGCTGTTACAGTAATTTACCGATAAGTTTGTTGCTGTAATAGGCAAAACTGAGTTTTTTACTACTGCAATTTATTAGCTGTTATCGCAACAGTTTGAAAATATTTTTACGCGACTGGTCTCCCCATCAGAATCTTAGGTTGCTGTTAAGCACAAAGGAATGGAGCAGCTTACTGCGAGACGATTGCCTTCAACACGCTCCCTGGATTCCCCTTCAGTGTCGCGACAGCGCGCGAAGTGGTCTTATGGGTCGCAGACGGTATGTGTACTAGACATGACTCTGGGGGCACGCTCTTGGCGACCGTGCTAATACATCGTTGCCAAAGTTATGAGTATAAAAGAGCAAGGTGGAGACGATTGGATATGATGATTTGAGCTCAAGTCAAGTGGTAAAGATAGTGATTCGCTTCCCTTCCTTGAAATCTTTCCTTTCTTGCCCATATGTAACTTTGAGATTTTTTTACAGTTTCGATGAGTTTGCAAATTTAATTCGGTTCTAAATGTTTGTTGACTCTTTGTCATTACATTGAGGGATGGCAAAGGTCTTAGTGACCAATGCTTCTCTCCATTATAAGTCAATCTGTGGTACAGAAATGCTATATAGATTAGTGAACATGTATTCAGCACCCTTTTATATAACTGTATCATCTCATCTCCAATATTTTTTTAATTGTAATATTTGGGAATTTAAGTTAATAAAGAGCTATTAGATAAACCAAGTAGCGCAACCTCGTCGCCGCTCGATAGATACCGGAAATACACAGTCCTCAGATTAGTACTGCAGGCACTGACAACTACGATTGCTACTAGTGAGTTAAGCGTAGAAAACAGGATCTCAGTAGGAACACTGTAGAGGGGTTGTGATCAACACCCGAATTAAAAGGGTTTTACGGTAGATGCGATATACAGTGCAGGTGTAAAGAAATTTAAACTGTATAAAGATTATATTATTGTTGATTCCTGTAATTTCTGCACATTAACAGTATTGTAATTACTGGATAATACTGCTATATTTTGATGGTTTAGTTTTCCAAGTCTGACGAATTAATAAGTTGGTTGTATTCAATAAATTCAAGTTGAAGCCCAAAAGAAATAACAGGACAGATAGCTTACAACATTAACAGAACAACTCAAAAAGAGGAACCAACTAATTATGGTCAATGGGGCAACGGAAATATAGTGTACATTTACCTCCTCTCTACATTCTCCGCTCAATTCAGATAATCAAACATCTTTGTGGAGGTTCTGATCATTAAAGACGAGTAAAAGAATGCTACAAAATAAAGCTTCAGACAGTTAACCTAATGAACTCCTCGAGCAGCTTTCAGTCACCGTACGACTCAGTTGGTTATCATGGCCGTAATAAGGTGTTTTTGACTGATTTTTCAGCTGCAGCAGAAACGCAACATAATGACAGCTTTGAGTACACCAGTAAAAGAGGCGATGATAAAGCACAACACGGAGAGGAAACCTTGAAAAACGGCAGTCATTTCAAAATGATAGCTCAAGACGTGCAATTCTAATGTTACCTGATTAAATATTTGTTAGATCTTGTGTCCAGTAACTGTAATCAGCGTTATTTCACCAGAATTATTTTTCATAGCTGTCCTCATGAATAACGCTCATTTACTGTTGTACTGTTGTGCTCTGCACAAGAGCAATTCTATTATAACCAAAACGGAAACTTCTTCACGATGGGTACTTGAAGCGCCTGAATAATTTTTTAGAAACTAATCATTTGAAACAATTTAACAACTCCCGCTCTTTAACACCATCTATTAAAGAAGCAAGAATATGAATTGCCAAATGAAGCAGAAAATGTGGGAAAGCCCAATTTATTTAAAAACAAACAAGGTTACCTTTAAGTTCTAATATCGCTTTAAAAGCCTAATTATAGTAACGGCTATTTATTTGGGTTTTTAAAAGGCACTGCGATGATAAAGTGCGATAACTTTTCCAGAATTCGTTTCCGAGAATAAACACATATGCAGAATTTACAGAATTCAGTTTCAGCGTTTCTTATATACTCTTGATCAACTGAAAAGGATGAAACTCTAGAACTTCAATTAACAGTTTTTCCACTGTATCTTAGAAGGCTAACAGCCAAGAGTAGGTGAGTCACTCTGTACAGTCGTTACGCGTTATTCCTGACCCCCGTTACTACCACACTGTGCGAGTCAAGTTCTAGGTGGTGGTATCTTAGAAGTACTTTCACTATCCGGTAAAAAATTGTTCTGATTAAGCTAGTAAGAGACACAGTAATGCCAGTAGCTAAATCAAAGCACCTTATTGCAATGACATGCCAGTAAAGTGATAACACAGGAAGAGGATGTAGTAAAGGCCGGATCTCTAAATTTTGGTCACCTAGAAAATTCAACCTGACGTATTCCATCTTCCACATACCTTAAACCACACCTCCTAAACATTTAAACAGTAGTTCACAAAAGCAAAATGACTCTCCCCAGAAAACGGCAAAAAACTTTATTTTATAATTCCAGAACCGAAGGTAATTCGTGAGGGTTAAGAAAAGTACTAGGTCACTCTGCCTTATACACTAACGGGTATCTCAGAATCTAGAGAATTGGTAGTTAGAGAAACACTTGGTGCTTAGCTGGCACCTTGCCAGCTGAAAATTTTTTCGCTTTGAAAGCGATAGAAAAAATGACTTAAGATAGAACCAAGCAGGATTCATGATAATTTTCATGGCACGGTTGCTTGTGGTTTTCCTTTACGTTTGTTTTTGTCATTCTTTTGCCTGACATTATCTGTGCAGCTAATGGGTTTTGGGATTTACTTGAAATGACTTCTATTACGATAAGTTATTGACGTAAAACGTGGCATATGAATAGCTGTAGCTTTTGGATGCAAGGTTTTTTTTTCGAATTTAACTTATATTCTCCCTTTTCGCATCAGTTAGAGAATTCTCTTTTTCTTAAAGCTTCCAAAACAAATATGGCACGCAACAGATTTGGATCTGTATCACGACGAAACGATTCCGTAGTGAAATTGGTGAGACGTACTGTAGGGAACCTTGGTTACGTTTCACTGTTAGATGGTACGAGTAAGTGTTGTGAAAAGTCTTTCCCAGCAACTTTTTTGATCGTCTCGTACAGTTGCTCAACGAGTTCCCTGTGCAGAACTAAAACATTACAGTCAGTGATTAGGGAGGCATTGGTTAGATTAGGCTATCTGTTGAATTACGCTTCACCGACGAAGCGGTCTTGTAGAACTATATAAAAATTAGAACAGAGTTTCACTGTTGGATTATTGTAAAGTCAAAGGTAATTTGAAAACTTTGAAGCTCTCAAAGGCGAATGGAGTGGGGTTGAAAAGCACGTATGTAAAGAAGAAATCGAGGTTAACTTTATAAAAGTGGGGATTAAGAGTGGGCACGTTTGGCTGTAATAGTGCTTTGTCTTTTATCTGCTTACATTCCAGACTATGGTACATGTATCATGTTTAGGCAATGGTTCACCACAAAATCCCTAAGAAGAATAGAAAGAAGCTGAAATCAGTTGACCCGTTCAACAAGAATCACAATTCTGTACTGCAAAATAATGCAAGGTAAACTAGTTCAAAAGACTTGATTAGTGAGGTCCCAAATTTTTTGGTTTTTTTAACTGAAAGAAGGAATTTTTGTTTTGCTGATAATGTGATTTGTCTAATGTTCTTACTTAAGAAATTTTTCATCAGCTAAGTTTTACTTCTCTAGGGTAGTTGGTGAAATACTCTTTTTTAGAATGATGCGAAAGCTTGATTTTTTTGGCTTTTTTATTGTAGAAATAAGAATTTGGAGCCAGGGAATGAGGAGCAACCTTTAACAAGGCGTCAGAAAGACATTCAGGAATTTTTGAAGGAAGGAACTTTTCAGAAAAAGAAGCGAAGGCGAAACACTGTGCGAAGTGATAATTCCGTTTTTTTTTTTTTTTTT